GAACCTAAGGCAAGTCATTTGTGCATTTGTAAAAGTTTTGATCACTATTTAATGTTAAATTTTTCATAAATAGGGATAATATCATAGCAACTTTGGAGGATCTAGAAAATTTGAGGGAATTGGTGTCGTTGGAGCACCTCATATTAGCAGGTAAGGTTGCGTATTTAGATGGAAATGGCGTAAAATGCTCCAGAATCTCAAAAAAATTCAGTGAGTTGGGCTAAGCACGCTGCAAATTGGAGAATTTTTTGCAGTTGACTATCACGACTCGTATATTTATATATTAGCAAGCTATCCTACATGTACAACTTCATCCCATCTTTGTTCACTCATCTGAAGCAGCCTGGGTCATATGCCTTTCACTGTACTTTTATGACGCTTCTAAAATTCATTGCTAAAGAAAAGCAGGCTTGCTGTGAAATCTTTATTGCCACTTCCGGAGAGGATCGGTATGCACCACACATGAGTGTCGCATTTGACGAAGGTTGCATTATTTCCTGCTCAAACAGGGCCAAAACGAGGTTTTAGTTGATGAAAGATCGCCTTTGATTAAGTTGTGAACCATGCCAATACATAATGAATCTGATATCGTATTTTCACGAATAAACAACCGAACTATTTTTATGAAGGTAATCCAGTCGAAAGAGTGAAGAAGTTCCGCATTGAACTGTTAATTCTGAATATGGGGTTGAAGAGAATCGACAAAGAGGACTTCTGGGCGGAGGATGTCGAGGAGGCCAAGTCCCTGATGGCCAAACGCAAAAAGCAGGAAGAGGGTGGTGGAAAAGGAAAAAAGCCTAAGAACGACATTCAGCCGTCAAGATATTTGTAATTGTTGAAAGACAGTGCGGTTTTCTCTCTTCTAGCCCTTCTCACCCCACTTCATCCTCATCTCTCCTTTACCATTCGAATGGACTGCAGGCGCAGTTCGAAATGGTTGGTACTATAGCGCCTGAAAAAAATTGTGTAAACAGGGGTGAAAAGTAACGATAGGATTCTTTTTATACTGAAAATTCTCAGTCAAACGTGGAAACTCGAAACATGGCAACCTACATATGTGATTCCATACTCTGGTTATATTTCGGTAATTATTAACATATGTGGATCGAAAAGGACTACTGATAAAGACGAAATTTAGGAATAGTTAACAAAAGAGTTATTAAATGGAACAGCGGAAAAGAATCACCACTGAGGAAGGCATTAGTGGCTTACCACTGTGCCGATGAGGTCGCAGAGCTTATGCCCAACCAAATTTGCCGGAACCCTAATTTAGGGGCCAAGATCTTTGTTTACTCTTTGCTTTTGTCTTTTCTGAAAGTGGCTGTGGGGTACCAATTCCAGTGTCAGGCGGTCTTGCGTTTCGACCTCGAGGGCATTTTTGATATCCTTGAGCCAAAGTAAAACTACACTTTTTGCTTGGGCAGCAAAATGTATTAACCCTTTTCAGGAACTACTGCAGTACCTAAAATGCTATTTGGGTGAGCGCTATTCTTTACGATCAGCACATCCGAATAAGTTATCAATCGCGTCTCCTTACATTCCAACAGACCAAAAGGAATTCCTTCTTTCTGCTACAGCCGAACTACCAGAGGACGACCAACTGTAATAGCTGCCGTGTTACTCTTTTCCTATGAAAGATACCACCTAAGCTGCAGCGCTGGCACTACTCCTTACTGTGAACCACGTGCGAGATCATAACGTCCAAATTTAAAGGCATAAATGCAAGTGAAATGCGTCAAATTGGATTTGGATGGATATCAAGAATCTTCCTTACTTGAGAGAGGTGGTC